ACCCTCTGGGAGAGGGAGTCAGGCAGAGAAAACAGGAGAAAAAACTGGGCCTACATGTGGGTTCACCAGGATTGTGACCTCAGCCTGATCCCACGGGGTGTGCTATAGGCAGGGCATTGTCTCAGCAGCAAGAGGCCAGGTTCTCACAGGCTCTCCTGGGATGGGACAGGTGAGATGGCCTCCTCGGGAGAGGGTGCAGGTAGGGATCTGGGGAGGATTGACAGCATGTGCAACAAGCATCTACTCTATGCCAGGCATCATTTTCAGCATTGTCTGTGGAGGTAGGGATGTGGGGGAAGATTGACAGCATGTGCAGCAAGCACCTACTGTGTGCCAGGCATCATTCTCAGCATTGCCTGTGCAGCAGGAAACAAGTGTGTGCCTGCTTTCCTGGAGCTGCATTCTTCTGGGAGGGACAGATAACAATAGAGGTATTGTTATTGTCAGGTAGAAACCAGTGCTGTGTACAAAGATGAAGCAAAGGCAGGGGTCGAAGGGCCAGGTAGGGGGACTTTAGATTGGGCACTGAGGACAGGCCTCTCCAATGGTCTAAGTCCTCATTCGAGGCCTAGTTGGGAGGAGCTCCTGTTTCATGGATGAGGAGACAGGAGGATGGAGGCACAGTTAAGTAGAGGGCTGTGTTCAAATTTATATTGCAGTGGCAGAGTCCAGAGTTAGACAATTGACTCTGAGGAAGACTTATGAACCTTGTCCCTTTCCTGCTCCCATCCAGCCTGTCCTTCAGTGAGTGCCCTTGCCTGGGGCCAGGCTGTCAGAGGGCCTGGCCTGCTGGCAAGTCTGGGCAGTCCCACTGCAGCCCGCTGCACCTCCCAGATAGTGTATCTGTTCCTGGCACTGGAGCATCTGTGTCCACCACCCCCCATCCCCCAGTCTGTTCCATTCCTTCCATTTATGTTTCACCCTGGCCACTGTTTCTTTCTAGGGTAGCTTTATCCAACAGAACTTGCTATAGTGATGGAAATGTTCTAGAAAGGCTCTGTCCAGTTCAGTGGTCAGTAACCACATGTGGCCATTAAATACTTAAAATGTGGCTAGTGTGACTAATAAACAAATTTTAATTTTAAAAACTTAATTTTTTTTAATTAACTTAAAATTATATGCAAATAGCCATTTGTAGCTGGCAGCTACTGGATTGGATAGTTCATTAGTGAGCTACACCACTGCCTTGCACAGGAGCCACAGTTGAGCTGAGAAGAAGGATGATGTGTCCAGCCCTGTTTACATGGGCAGAAGTCGAGAAGTATTGATAGGCACCTTCTCCTATGGGAGCTGGTCCCTTTGGCTGAAACCCATATGTGCTGTGACTTAATGCTTGGCCCATGTAAAATTCATGCTCTAGCTCAGTTTCCCCAGTTTTATCCTATGTGACTGCAGCTTTGTGAAGATCAGTACAGTATTCTATATAATAGAAGCCTAATATTCTAAGTGTCTGGTCATCCATTCAACCAATCTAAGCGTAATATGCTAATGATATGCTAAGGCCACTCAACTGCTCACTATAACATGCACTGACCACCAGGGGGCAGATGCTCCAACCAGTAGATTAGCTTGCTGCTGGGGTCCAGCTGATCCAGACTGAGCTAGACGATTGGGACGGAGCTAGTCAGGCCAGACATGCCCTGGAGCCCTCCCACAGTCCCTTCCGGCTGGCCAACCTCCCGCGTCCCTCCCCACCCCAGTCATGCACCAGTGGGGTCACTCGGCCTGGCCTGCACACTCTCGCAATCCAGAACCCCTCAGGAAATGTCAGAGAGCCAGTTTCGGCCCGATCCCGCAGGCCAGGCCAAGGGACCCCCCTAGTGTACGAATTTGTGCACCGGGCCTCTAGTGTTATATTAAAAGCAAAGCGGGCAGGCGGAGGTTTGTAGTAAGGAAGTTTGGGAAGCAAGGGGTGAAGCAGAGTTACAGGGGATTCTGTAGCAGAACTTCCCAGAGCCTTTAATGTGCCAGCATGGGATGTGACCTTCCAGGACTTCCCAAACTCATTGGTGTGGACCTTTCCTGATGGAGAGCCATTGTGCTATAGCTGCTGTGGAATCCTCTTAGAGAAAGCTATTCTTGAGGTAGTGTCCATCGCAGACCCTAGGAGGTTGTGTGGCTTTGTTTCTATTCAGACCTTCCCTCTGCTGATTGTGATGGCAGGCAGTCACTTAATGTGTTTCTTCAGCGGCTCTGTTGTGTATTCACTCATTTTTTCCAAGAAAACAGTGGCTCCAGGCCTTCCGTCTGCCAGGCCTGTGGTGGGCAGGGAGATGGCGTGATGAACAGGGGAGCTGGCCGCCCTGTCCTCTCTAGGTCTGTCCCCCACCCACATATGCGTATGCACATACTATCAGCCAGTGGTCATTGCTACTGATTCTACGCCAACAGGAACCCCCAATTTGGGCTGTAGCGAAGAAGGAAATGTTATTTCTGTGCAAACAGCCCAATTGCAATACAGCATGGCTGTGAGGTGGCCCTGGGGTGAAATGGCCCTCAGATGAGACCTCTCAGGCTAGCAGCTCTGCTCTGGTTTAGTCGGCTCCAGCCCAGCCCAGAAACCAGTTCCCAGTCTCTAGTGGAAAGGGAAAATGTACTGCGGGAGCCAGAAGGGAGCTGGTATAATACAGATAAATCCCTGCCCCTGGTCAGTCCATTCTCAGCCTATGAGGACTCCATATCCTCAATTTGGTCCCAAAGGCACTGTCCTGATTGGTGAGAATGGAGCTGATCTGATTGGTTGGAGAAAATGCTGATGGGTGATATAGGTGCGCAGATCCAATTGGACAGGGAAAACCTCAGTCCTATTGGTTGACATAGGGTTCTAGGAATTCCTTTATATGGGCTGGCTCAGGTGGCAGAAACACAGTGCAGGCCGTGTGGTTTGCATGAGAGGCTGCTGTTTAAAAACGGCTGAGGAAGGCAGTATGGTCATCTCTACTTTCAGAGAAGTAATCCATGCCCCATGGGCCCTGCTTTCAGGTTCCTTCCCTGGAGTGAGGGAGCAGAGCAAGCCTCCCCCTCAGCTGTCCTCAGCCCTGCCAGCCTGAGAGGCCTGACAACACAGGTGTTCATAGCAGTGCAGGCAACCTGACAAAATGTCTCCCCTTGGCCAGTGGCCTCAGCCACCAGGGCCCCGTTGCGGGCTGACTGGTCCTGTCCTGTCCTCCTGCCCCAGCTTCTCCTGGGTGCCCTCGCACTACCACCACCCCTTCCTGGCTCTTTCCAGGCACATGCTTTTTCTGCAGGCCTCTCCAGACCTAAATCTAAATCTCTCCACACTTCTCAGTTCTCTCTCACTGGATGCCTTGGCAGACTCACAGCCTCACTTTGCTCACTCCTTCCTGAAACCTTCTCTGTGTCTGGCTTCCTGAGTACCTCTGGTCCCTACCCCCACCCCCTGCCACCACACACAGACACACACACAGACACACACACACACAGACACACACACACACACAAACTCTCCCCATCATCCTTCTGGTCCCAGGACAGTCCTTTTTTGTCCCAGTGGACTCCAACCTGGGCTTTGCCCTTCAGTGTTGGAGTCCCGGAGCTCTGACTTTGTGTCCTGGACCTCTGTCCATCTGTTCCCCATATGCCTTCTATTAACTGTCCCCATCTCACCTTCCCCAGACCCTCATATCCCTCACTTCCTCCCTGGGGCTGCCATTATTCTCATTCCCCTAACTCACTGGTTCTCAACCTGTGGGTTGCGAACCCTTTGGTGGTCGAATGACCCTTTCACAGGGGTCGCCTAAGACCATCCTGCATATCAGATATTTACATTATGATTCATAACAGCAGCAACATTACAGTTATGAAGTAGCAACGAAAATAATTTTATGGTTGGGTCACAAGATGAGGAACTGTATTTAAAGGACCAGAAGGTTGAGAACCACTGCCCAAACTGGTTCTGCTATAACTACAGCAGTGTGGGAAGCACTGGCTGAGGTTCCCACTGCCCTGACATGCCTGAGAGCCTTCGCAGCAGACCAGCCCTCCGTGTCCCAGCTGTCCCTAACTTCTGTTAAATGTGGACTTACTTTTCTTCTGCCAGTAGTCATTTTTTTTACCTTGACCCCTATAGCTGGATAAATCTTGTTCACCTTCAGTCTCTGCTTTCATGTCACCACCTCCAAAAAGCCTGTCTGCCCCTACCCCACCCAAACCGTGTTCGTCTCCATCGCAAGGCTTGTCACATATGAGTATTTCCCATCCAGGCTGCAAGCATGCTGACATGAGGACTGCACCAGCCCCCACCTTAACAAACATTTACAACGTGCCCTGGTCCCCTCCGAGTCTGCCTGCGATCAGTGGGCGCAGGGAACATAGCATGGGCCCCGGTGCATTCTCAGCCAGGCAGGAGGTGGTTCAGGATCTGGAGGCAGGGACATTTGCCCAGAGGCCTGAGAGGTCACAGGAAAAGCTGTGTCTGATCTTGGTGCAAATGCCTTTTAGGTGGCCCAGTCCTCCTGCCTCAGTAGCTGGAGAGGAGGTAGGACGCCTCTTCTGAAAGGAGGTCCAGTTCCCAGTAGATGAAGAGGCTGGAGAAGCAGGACATCTGGGTTTCCAGACTTGGCTCTGTGACTCACTGTGTGACCTTGGCAAGAAAGATCCTCCCTGATTGGGACCTCAGTGTCCCCTTCTGTACAGTGGGAGGGCTGGGTCATTTCTGGGTTTGTACCTCTGTAGGATGGAATCCTCCTCAGCTCTTGTTTTGGGCACAAGAGGGCAGCCAAGGGCTTTGGAGTGCTGAGGAATGTGGGCCAAATAGGCTTGAAAAAACTGTATTGGATAAACTGATCGTTACTGAGCCCCAAACTTGGTGGGGCCAGACTGGTGGGGGTTCTTGTTTCTTATCATAGTAACTACACCTGGCCCAGAGTTCACCCAGGACACCTGGAAACTGCCATTACAGAAAATCTGATTTCCCAGCTGCTGCCTCTGAGCTCTGGGCATGGCAGCGGGAGGCCAATGGCCTGCGTCTCTTTCCACAGTGGTCCTTTGCTGTCGCTACCATCACAGAAATCCCCCCTGTCATCTTTCTCCCCAACTTCCTTGTGCAGAGGAAGGTGCTGAAGCCCCTTCGGATCCAGACAGGAGGAACCATAATGGTAGGTGGGGAGGCAGGTGGGACACAGGGCTGGGCTGGGGATCCCCACACCTGGTTCCTTCCTTCCTTTGGGCTGTTGCCCACCCTGGGCTTTCCATATGGATGCCCTCTTCCCACTTAGTAGTGGAACAAAACCGAAGTACTCCTCAAGGCCCAGCAGCTCCCCTCAAAGCCTTTCCCGCCCCAGGGCATCAGAGTTCACTGTTCCTTTTTCAGGGATGTCCAATTGAGTTACCATATTTGCTGGTGTGTAAGACACCCGCATACCCCAGAGATATATCCTAAAGTGATCACTCCAATGTACTCCAATTTAAGATGGAAATGATGTCAGTGATGGATGGTGCTCCCCTGTCTCCTGATCGCAGGTGTGGCGATGAAGAAAACTCCCAGCAAAACAGGTTTCATGTCCTGTCTGTAATTCTCTTTAAAATGAGCCATAGGCTGCCAAGTTCATTGGAGGTAGAGAATCATTTCAGACTCCCGTGTGCGATATCTAATTCAGATCTGGTAAATGCCTGTTGACTACAATAGTTTTCTTTTCAACCTGGAAATTTGTATCTTTTTTTAGTTTTATTAGAGCATTACTTACTGCCCTCCCCCTATACTTTGATTTCCTATGGATTTCAGTATTCAGTGTACTATATTTCTATGAGCCAAAACTTGTCTAATTCCCTTTAAAGGCCACATTAAAATCATTGTCAGCTTATGTGTGATCATAAGTACTTTTATTTATTCCAGTTTCTTCACAAAATTGCACTGCACATCCCATATGCCAGCTAATCTGGTACTTGCTTCTGGGATTGAGTATACTGGGAGTGGATGCTTCCTTAGCCCCACCTCAGAGCTCATTCCCACTTCAGAGCTGGCTGGAAATAGTGTTTATGGGATGAATGAGTGACTCAGTGAATGAGTGAGTGAAGAAGAGGGCTTCCCGTGCCCTTCATCCTGTGCTTGTCTCCCAGGCGGGGAAGCTGGCAGTGGAGCGAGGCTGGGCCATCAATGTGGGTGAGTGCCCCGCCTGGGGGAGCTGGCCTGTCCTAGGCCTGGGGGCAGGGAGGACCAGAAGGAACCTGGAGGAAGTGGCTATGAGTTCAGAGACTCTGGTGTGTAGGAGGGACAAACCAGTGCCTCCATCTGGCATGGAATCCTTGTCTAAAAGAGTTCTCCAGATTGCTCCTCAGTCCTGTCTTTGCATACTTCCAGTGGTGGGGAGCTCACTCTCCCAGGAAGCCTGTGCCATCCCCTGGACAGCTCTGCATGAAGCTGAAACCAAAAGATTCCATTAACCTCTGGGACCCAGGACAGCCTTAAGGGGCTTGGCCATGTCATGGTGGGTGGGCTGCCCAGGATCAGCATCACTTTATTCTCAAGGACCTTGAGGGCTAGCATTCCCCCAGTCCCTTGGACTCTCCCACAAGATTGGCTCATGGGAGCTGCACGGCCTTCCTCGTCCCTGCTGTGTTCCTCATGAAGGCTCAGCACTTCAGTTTGTGAAGCCTTGTTCTGTCCGGGCTCTCATCTAAGCTGGGTGTTATTGTTCAGTCCAATTATATTGATGAGAACATGGACGTTGAGAGAGGCCTAGTGGTTTGCTCAGAGCCCCATAGCTGCCTTCCCCAACCTCCACCTTGGACTGTGAACACTGCAAGGCCTTCTTGGTATGGCCAGATACCCATCATTAGGTCTGGCTTAACCATGATATTATGATACTCTGCTGAATAAACAAGTGAGTGATATGTGCCATGTGTTTCTACAGGGGTCTCAAGAGGACTCAGAGGCCCTTGGTTTGAATCTTGGTTCTGCCATTAGCTAGCTGTGTGACTCAGGGCAAGTTGCTAACCCCGCATCACTCTCTGTGCCTCAGGGTCTTAATCTGTAAAATGGAGATGGTCCTGTGGGGAGGCTTCAGTGAGCTCCGTGCTGGTTAGGAGTTCACTATTGGCTGTTATCTCGTCACTAGGATCCAATGACAGCCTCTTGGGTGGTGCAAAGAGGCAGTTCCCTGTATCCGGGCCCTGGCCTCACACTGCCAGGTGAGGCAGTTACTGGGCTCAACTTCAGAAGCCCTGCAGCTCAGTTCTTTTAGGGGTTGCAGGGAGATGGGCTCTGGCCTCTGTGGCTATGGTCACAGGGTTGAGGGGTAGAGGAGGCCGGACCCTGGTCACCGTTGCAATGGGTAGCCATGACCAGCAGAGGGTGCCCTGCCTGATCACCCTTTCCCACCACCCGGCAGAATCTGGGGGTTCCCAAGGTAAACCTGCCCCATAGCTCCACCACCCTTTTCTGGTAGGAGGACTCACATGTGGGCAGCCCAGCTCTATGGAGACTTACTGTCTTGGGAAGGATGAGCTCTGTCCCTAAGAGGTGTGAGTGGACACTGGAGTCTGACTTGTTGGGATACCCTAAGAGGTTTCTTTCTCTGACGAGGGTGGCTGTAATGGCAAAGCTACCTCCTGACTTGGGGATAGTGACATATCTAGGCACGCAGCTCACTTTGTCAACCTGGAGTCCCAGGAGCCTTCCTGGGAGCTGAGCAGGGTGGGCATGTGGAAGGGTAGCAGGGTGTGCCTAGGTCTAGCTCTTGAGCCTGGCCCTGACTTCATCATGTCTGCCTTCCATAGGTGGTGGCTTCCATCACTGCTCCAGCGACCGGGGAGGGGGCTTCTGCGCCTACGCAGACATCACGCTCGCCATCAAGGTGTGCAGGAGAGCATGTGGGAATCACCTCCAAGAGCCCTCCCTGGGACCCTCTGCCACTCCCAAGTTTGTGTTCTCACCCCACATTATACAGGAGGGAAGTGAGGCTCAGGGGAGGAAGGTCCCCGCATCACTCAGCCAGGCTCAGGCTCAAACCCAGATCTGACTCTCCTCTGTGTTGCCTGTGACAAAAGGGAGATATTACAGCCTTCAGCAGTGGCAGGGGCTGGGGAAAAGCATGTCTATCAACAATATAAGAAGGGCATCCCTACAGAAGAGTGAGGGGAGGTAGAAATAATAATAATGATCACAGTAATACTGATGACATTTACTACAGGCTCAAGCCTATGCCAACCTTTGTTCTCCATGGCTTACCTCAGTGAATCCTCATGTTACAGATGAGGAAACTGAGGCCAAGAGGTGATGTCACACAGCCAGAGGGGCAGAGCTGGCATTGGTCTCCATGTTTGTGGAACCCCAGGGCTCCCCCTGACCACACCGCACTTGGTCTCAGTCTGGGCTTCCGGAACAGGTCATTGAGGTTCCTGTTCTCACAGGGCACACAGACTAATGGTGGGGGTGAGACAGGTCAGCAGACCCTGGGCATTCAGGAGGCAGACACACAGGAGAGCTTGGAGGGTGGAGAAAGGGGAGGAGGGCTCCCACAGGAGGAATGTGGACCTGACCTGTAGGAAGACAAAGATTGTAGAATAAAGTTCCTGGCCCAGTTTTGAAGGGAGGCTTCTCCTCCCCCGACCCCCACATTTCCCCAGGATTCCTGGGGTGTCACTGAGGGCCAGCCTCACTCACCTGCTCACCTCCTGACTTCTGCCCTTCAGGGCGCAGCACAGGACCCTCCTCCAGGAGGGCTTCCTTGACCATGCACACATGCTTCTCTGGAGCTGCATAGCTCTCCTGGGTGTGTGATGTCTTTGCCTAGTCCTCCTGCCCTGGCCCCTCACCAGCTGGGAGTTCCTGAGGGGCTGTGTCTTCTGGCCTGTGTGGGTCCTCACCTCTCCCCTCTTCTCCCCTGGGCAGTTTCTGTTTGAGCGAGTGGAGGGCATCTCCAGGGCCACCATTGTTGATCTTGATGCCCATCAGGTGAGTGCCCCGTGGGGGCTGGGGTCTTCTGGGCTCCCTCCTCAGCACTCCTCTATGTGTTCCCCATCAGCTTCCATCATACAACCTACACTGTGGGACTCCTCCCCCTGGAAACATCCCTGAGCCCCAAGGCAGATCTCTGCCACTTTCATCCTGCTCTGCCTCTCTCCCACTGCCCACCCTCTCTGTGCTGGAGAGACTGGAAGCAGAGGGTCCTTCTTTCTCCCTCTGCCCCTCTCGCCCCAGCCAATGCTCCTGTGAAATTGAGGGTCCTTCCTCCCTTCTCCTGACTGCCTCCCCAAACCAGGCTGGTGGCTCTTCCTAAAATCCCTACAGGTAGTGCTATTCTTGTGCTTTAAACCCCTCAGTGGCTCCCTAGTCTGTGCACAGAGCCCAGGAGCCTGTGTTCCTGCACCCCAGGAAAGTGCTCATTCATGTGCTTCAGGGTTGCTCAGCCACTGCTACCCAGGTCTGGCTTCTATTGTCCCAGGTGGGACAGGGCATGCATTGGGTTCTTGAAGGCCCTCCTGCACCTCTCTGCTGCTGTGGCTTTGTGATGGTGGGACTGCTCCAAGGTCACATGACACTGAACTCCTGAACCACATGAGTACAGCCCTTACAGTTTATGTTTCACACTCCTGATCCCAGCCAATTCTACCACAGACTTGAGAGGGTATGGGGCCAGGATTCCTGCCTTGTGTCCTGGAGAAGACTGAGAGGGCTGGGCTTGCTTCAGATCATGCTAGAAGGTCATGGGGCCAGGTGTTGAGGTTGAATCCTAGCTTTGTCACTTTATAGCCATGAGACCCTCTGCCAAAGGGCAAACCACACTGCTCAGACACAGGGCGGTCGGGGTTGGAGGGAGGGTCCTGTCTTTGCTGAGGGCACTTGCCTGCAAGTGGCTCCCATGTTCTCCCTGCAGGGCAATGGGCACGAACGGGACTTCATGGGTGACCAGCGTGTGTACATCATGGATGTCTACAACCGCCACATCTACCCTGGAGACCGCTTTGCCAAGCGTAAGCTGCCCGCCACCCTCAGTCCTGAGTTCACTCATGCTTGGATGGGGCTTTTCTCCTGAGTATTTCCTATGTGCTGGGTCTTGCAAGGTGGGAATTGTTCCCATTGTACAGATGAGGAAATTGAAACCTAAAGTAGTCATATGACCCACCCAAGATTGCATTAGCCTGTTTAATAAACATATGGATGGGTCCTTATATTAGGGGTAACCATCAGAAGAATAAAAATAGACTCCTAGGATGCATCTGTCTATAGAACACAGGGAATGAGCAAAAGGAAATGAGGGAAAATAAGATAAATAGGGTATTCCAAATAAGATGGAAGAAATTAGTTCAAATATAATAGTTGGTAAAATAAAAAGAAATGCAGGCAGGTTAAACTTATCAACTAAAGGCAGAGATGCTCAGATGAGCTATGAAAACTTGAGCACCTGCCCACTTTGTGGGTTGGGGACCTTTATGCTGGAAGGGCTAGTGAGTCTCCTGTGGGCACTCAGCTGCTGGTATACCCCAAAGGACTAGTTTCAGAAATGAATCTTGAATGTGCGGTGTTTGGACATGAGGGCACAGCTTGGTATCCCTGTGTCTGGGCAAGGTGTTTTATCCGCAATTCCCCTTCTCTCTTTTGGGTTCCCGCTTTGCAGCTCTTGGTGCTCTTTTTAGCTGAGTTTCCCCCACCCCTCAAATTGCACTAAAGTAAAGAAAGCCCTATCTAATGTGGATGTGTTGTTTAGGGTTAGCAGTACTGTCCTCACTAGACATTCATTGGACAGTACCACAACGAGAGGAAAAGGATGGGTTTGTTTGTGTGTGTGTTTCTAGCTTAGTTTTGAGTGAAATAAGAGGCTGAGCAGTGCTGGAGTCAGCTTATTTTCTAGTCCTTCCTTGGGCACTGGCAGGGATCCAAGCAATCTTTGTCCTCTTGAGCTCAGTTTCCTGTCTCTGCAAACGGGAAATTCCTGTGTCCCTCTTAGAGGCCATAAGGCGGAAGGTAGAGCTGGAGTGGGGCACCGAGGATGACGAGTACCTGGATAAAGTGGAGAGGAACCTCAAGAGAGCCCTTCAGGAGCATCCTCCCGACATCATGGTGTACAACGCAGGCACCGACATCCTCGAGGGGGACCGCCTTGGTGGGCTGTCCATTAGCCCACAGGTATGTCCTGAACTTGGGGGTGGGAGGGCAGGGGATGGTCTCCTCTGAGGACTCAGCTGCAGCAGGACAGGTGGACCACATTGGTGCTTCTCCTGATATCAGAGCGGATGGGTGGAAACAGCTGCAGTCCAAGCAGGGCTAGACCTGCAGCAGAACCTCTTGATACCATGAGGGTCGGGGCCTGCCTGAGCTCACCTTCCCAATCTCCCAACAGGGCATCGTGAAGCGGGATGAGCTGGTGTTCCGGGTGGCCCGCAGATGTCAGGTGCCCATCCTCATGGTGACCTCAGGCGGGTACCAGAAGCGCACAGCCCGCATCATTGCTGACTCCATCCTTAATTTGTATGACCTGGGGCTCATTGGTCCTGAGTCAGCCAGCATCTCAGCACAGAACTCAGACACACCTCTGCTACTCTAGGAGTTGCCCTGACTGCACTGCCCTTCGAAGCGGTTCTCTGCCTGCCTCCCACCCTGCCCACCCCTCAGTGCTTCTCCTTTTCTAACCACATGGGATGGCAGGGCAGCTGCTAGGGGCCCTGAAGGGCCTGGGGCTTGTCCCCACCCAGGCCTGCCTTCAGGGCCTGGCAGACAGCTCCTCCACTCTCCCCCTGGATGTTCAGGCCCTGTGGAAGTAGGCAGTTCACCCAAGGAGAGAGGAGGGCAGGCGAGGCTCTGGGGGCTGCAGAGAAGCCCCCCAGGGGTCAGGATGCTCCCTCCCGTTTTAAAAAATGTCAGACCCATGTCAGACCAAGGAAGCTTCCATTTCTGCAATGGCTGGGCCTCCCTCCTCTTAAGTCATCAGATTTGCTTCCTTTCTTGTCTCAAGCATGGCCTGAGGATCTGGGGACAGCCATGTGGGTGGGACTGGAACCCGGCTCTTGGAGCCCGGCCTGGGGTGGGGACTGCACTCGTGGCCTGCAGGCTGGAACCCTGGTCCTAGATGTGAGCAGTGGCAGGGAAAAGGGAGGTTTCCCTCCAGCATTCCTTTAGTAATGCAAGGGCTGGGCATAGTCTCAGAGCCCCTTGCTGACATGTGGATGGGAGGCCTGAGGGGCCCCGTCCCTGCTTCCATAGGGGCCCACCTGTGCAGCGGGGAGCAGTTTGGGGAAGAAGCACTTGGCTCGGGACCTCGGTGCTGGAAGCATAACAAGGCTGCTGACCCTAGTGGGGAGGGCAGAGGAGATGAGGACTGGATGGGGAAATCTTGAGTGGGGCAGGTGGCCAAGCCAGGTGCTGCAGGAACCAAGGCCCCAGGTAGGGACTGAAGAACAGAGGAGGCCAGGCCGGGGTTTCTGGAGGGAGAGCAGAGGGTCTCCATCTGGGCCTATAAGTTGTAAGGGAAGGGGGCTGGGGCAGGGCCCTGGGTGGGGCTGCAGAATCCACTGGCCTCACCCAAATTCCTGGGGGTCTGATGACACTGTCCAGGATCCCTAACCTTGTCCTCAGCTCTACTCTGAAGGGGACTCTTGGGTTCCTCAGGAAGCTGGCTTGGGGGAGAGCCCATTCCATTGCCTGGGTGTGTTCTTAGTGGACGAAGGTGGGGCTAGAGACGTATCTGGGTCCCAGGTCCTATGGGTTTTGTGGCCATTATCCTCTAGGGTCGCTTCTGTAATCTCACACTTCCTCCCTCACACTTCCTCTGCTGCAGCTTGGGTGGGGGTAGAATAAAGTTCCAAGATCACAAACTGTAAAAAATGCTGACCTTCTGGGCAAGACCTGAGGCATTAACCATCACGTGGACCACCACACCACACTCCACCCTCCCACCCTCCCACCCTCTGCCTTTGTCCTTGGTATCTCTGTATCTGATCCCTAACATCCCTTCATCTCCAGTGACAGCCTGTGACATCTGGGGAAAGGCTGTGATGCAGCACCTCACTGTGAGCTTCTGTTTGTAAAGAACCATAAAGGCTCTTCTTGACTGGGCCTAGTCACTGTGTGCTCTTGAGATGAAGAATCCCTCCCTCCTATGAATTAAAGGAAATAAACATTTAAAATGCACATAGCACAAGGCCTGACATCAGCAGCTGCCCAAGAAGTGAAAGTATTTTATTCTACCCTCCGAGTCTTATGAAGTAGTCATTATTCCCATTTTACAGATGATACAGTGAACAACGTGATCCAAACCCCATACACATCTAGTGAGGCATAGAGCCAGGCTGAACCTAGCTCTAGTGGACTCCAAAGTAAGCATCTCAGCTGCCTCAAATTTAGCAGGGTTGAAGGAGATGGGGGGAGGTCATTGCTCTCCAAAGACGAGGGTCTGGGAAAGTATGGGATGGGAAGGCAGGAAGGGTTCGACTCTGATGGTGGCTCTGCACAGTGGGTGCTCCTGCAGGGCAGCACATTGTGTGTGCGTGTGTGTGTGTGTGTGTGTGTGTGTGTGTGTGTGTGAGCGGGCGCAGGAGCA